CTTTTCCATACATCCTTTGAAACTGGTGTGGAGGCTGCCATACCTCCACAGCTCTTGCATTCGGAAAGCCTGCAAATTTAATATCGCATGGACACCAACAACGTTTCCAGTTTGTATCTTCCAAAGCAGCAGGTCAGCAGCACCTGGGGGCAGTTTAGGTAGGCTGGTGCAGCTGGAGCATCCACGGTACAGGAAGTTGTATCCTGAGGTGGGCCTGGGCAATGGGCTCGTGGAGGGTGCCCCAGGCCTGTTCTCCCAAATCATTTGGTTTTCCTAGGCCTCTGGGCCTGTCATTGGAAGGGCATCCTAGAAGATCTCTGAAATGCCTTCAAGGTCTTTTCTTCATTCTCTTGATGATCCCTCCCTTCTGTCCTGATCTCCTTAGCAGATGGTCACTCAGTTTCCTCACCTGAACACACTTTTTATGTGGCTGCTCTTTTTATGTGAGCACGGTCTTTATGTGTCAAGGCTGAGAGTTTTCCAATTTTTTACCCTCTGCTTCCCTTTTAATTATAAATTCTGCCTTTACATCATGTCTTTGCTGCAATAACCTAGAGTAGAAGTTGTCATGCAGCTGACTGAATACTTTGCTGCTTGGAAATTTCTTCCACCAAATACCCTGGTCTATCACTTTTAAGTTCCACATTCACTAAAGCCTTCTGGCATGGACATGCTTTAGCCATGTTCTTTGCCAGTTCACAACACGCGTGACTTTTACTCCAGTTTCCAATAAGCTCTTTCTCATTTTCATCTAAGATCTCCTCAGAATGGCCTTTACTGTCCATATTTCTATAAGCACTCTCATCACCGCCATTTAAACAATTTCTAAGAAGTTTAAAATCTTCCCTGGTCTTTTGTCTTCTAGGCCCTCACCAGAATCTAGGTTTTTTTCTAGACTGCTCCTCCAAATTCTTCCAGCTTTTGCCCTCAAAACCATTTCCATATTTACAGGTATTCATTATAAGCAACGCTCCACTTATCAATTATTAATTTTTATATTAGTCCATTTCTGTTTCTTATAATAGAATGGGTAATTTATAAGAAAATGAAATTTATATCTTATAGTTTCAGAGGCCAGGAAGTCCATGGTCCAGGTGACACATGTGGTGAGAGCCTTCTTCTGGGTGGAAACTCTACAGGGTCCAGTGGCAACATAGGGTATCACATGGCAAGGATGGGAAGATCTCTCTCATGTGCTCTCCTTATAAGTCCACCATTCCACACCTATGGTAACTCATACTCCATGAATGGATTAGTCCATTCATGTATGCATAGTTCTCATGAACCAATCACCTCTTAAAGACCCCACTTTTAAATACTATAATCACTCTTACAGTGGGAAACAAATTTCCAACACATGAACTTTTGGGGGACACGTTTGACCCATAGAAGTAGAAAAGATGACTTGAAAGATGTTGCTTTGCCCCCCACAGATTTGTCACCCCACTTCCTTTGGGTGATAGAGACACAAAGGATTACTCGAAGCCCATCTCTTCTGAGCAGTGAGAAGCCCCGAAGTGGTTAGCTTTTCTGCCAGAACTCTCAAGCGAGAGGGATCCCTTCCTTGGAAAAAATAATGCCTAATTGGGGTTGTCTTCCTGCATTTATTTTCCAGACCAGGAAGTTCCAGGAAGAGAACAAAGGTGGGGTTATATTTTAACAATATAGGCTGGTAACTTTCAGTGAAACAAGCCAGATGACATTCTAGTAAGGCTATCAACAAAAGCTTTGATCTTAACAAACATTCCTTCTCTCTCTAGCAGTTTCTCAGTATCTTTACATAACAATCAGTAATTAGTCTGTCTTTGAGCCAGCAACCTGCTGTGCCACAATTCTTTATCTTACACCAGAGACTTATAGCTTGAGGAATATTTCCTGTCCTTGCAAGGTCAGTATTTGAAACTGCAAGACTTTGGAAAACCAGGTCCTGTGAAGTACATATGCTTTTTAGTATATTCCACAGAAAGATGTTTGGAAAGCTATAGGATTCCCCCTTGCAGATACAAATCTACAGATAAAGAATTTTTTCTCAATAAAATTTTCCTTCTCCAGACTCTAGACACTGCCTATTTATCTCAAGTAAGTCTTGCTGATAGAAATCCAGTTCACTGAGACATTATGGAGTGTGGGAATTCTCTACAGTTTGAGGAAATGAGTCACCTTTTTTGAACCATAGAATAACAGTCTACATGCGCCACGTAATTTCCCCAAAAAGAAACTAAGAAATGTTTCATCTTCTTTTTCCATATATGTGATCAAATGTAGGGCTCTCTCCTCCTCCTTCCTTTCCTATATTTCTTTCTTCCTTTCAGAACCTATTTCTTGGGCTCAAGCTTCCCTTAGAAGTCACTCCTTCTTGTCTCAGTTTTTCATGTAGACATTAAGCATTTGCAACCTCATCTGTCACAGCTGTAACTCTAACACAATATTTACAGGGGCGACCTGACTCAAGGTGAGGGGGCTAGTATTTTATGCAAAGATAAACACATAGACCATTTCATTAATCTTGAGCTTTTATATTTTTAAAATCACAAATTTCAGGAGTGGGTGAGGAACTATGTTTTGACTATGTTTTCACTCTCACTGTTAAAGCAGCTTGTGTGAGACATGTTTACTTCTTGATCTTCTGCTGTGTTCTTAGAGTTGATTTGGAGGACTTTCACACCAACAAAAGTGCCTGGGTGGATGGTGGGCAACAGGAATAGTCGACCAGTTCCTGGTCCCTAAATGTGAGCAGATCACAGAGTCAGACACTCAGCAGCCAGGCCCCTTGCTGTTGCTCAGAGTTTGTGCTCAGCTCCCCCCTGCAGTTCCTGTCACTGTGTCACTCAGAGCACAGTAGTACATAGCCGAGTCTGACTCTTGGACTGAGGATTTCTTCAAGTGGAAGGAGGTTGTTTCTCTATTGTATGTGGCTTTAAAACCTTTGTTGCTTCCATTCTCATTGGCACTCGAGGCTTTCAGGAGGAGCTGTGGACCTTCTCTAGGATCTTGGACATACCAGAAAAGATCAGGGTACCCTGTATATTTATAAGTACAGTTTATAGTCAGGAATGCCCCTTGTGAAAGGGTTACTTGGCCTTCTGTCTGGGTCACCGAGTCTCCATTGCTTTGTCCTGAAAAAAATAATAATAACAGTGCTTTTTACCTTA